GCCACGTCGTGATATAGAGTAGAAGTTTAATCCACCTCAAGCTAATTGTTGTGAAGGTAAAGCTATGTAAGTGCACCTACAAAGGGATTACATTGTCAGGTATGTTTCAGCCTAACCATATTCAACTAATTAGTAGTGCCACTAGACGGTTGACTCAAGTAGATGTAGAGTTGTGAGTCCTGCTTATCCCCATAGACTGTCACAGAGTGTGTAGTGTGCTTACTCTCACTCAGTCTTCTCTTTAATGCAGGTAACTTTGTGAGCAACACAAGGATGGCAATGGAACCAGTTCAAAAAGGATTGTTTGGTAGTGCCAACATTCCGTTTTCTGGCTCCAACATCTCCATACTGTGATCCTGTTGGTGGTTTGTGTTGTGATTGGGATTTGCAGTTCGAGGTTAAATTTTAGGGTAAGTGAGAATATCTAACGAAAGTACAAATGATATTTATTCTTATGGGAAGTAGGACATAATATTGTTTGACTTTTAGGATAAACCGTATAGGTAAGTTCAAACAACTTCGCTGGGATCCTTGCGATTATTGTAACTAATACTTACGTAGTAGTGTGACCTCTTTGATATGGCGTATCGGAACTCGAAAGGGCGCAAAGCTCTGTCAACTTCTATATTGTTTTTGGCTGACTTTATGAGTTTTGTAAAAGATTAATTGTTTAGTCATTCAACAGAGAAAACATACAGACTTAAAATATGATGGATATGAGAGCATTCAGCAAACTATATTCAATTAGTCCGAAAAAATAATTTGATTATAACTGATTTGGTTTCATACGTTGTTACGCGTATGAGGTCAGATGTCGATTCCCGGTTGTCTATACCGTAGGAACCTGAAAAGGAAATTAGATAAGCGTTGATTTCAGCAACTTGGGAGAGTGAACGCACAGCTCAAAGGACAACTACTACTTCACGCTAGCCGCGCACGACCTTTTTATGGAAAGTTAACGTGTCAGTCTCGCTTTTCAAAAGGCCTTACCGCCACAGACGGAAATCCATATATAGAAAGATAAGGAGAGGTGTGACATTTTTAGTGTCGACCGTTTCTAACCCCTTCATTCCGTTGTGGGAAGGTAGCGTCGCTGCAGGTGTTAGTTGTTTGTCACACCTCTCCACAATCAACTGTAGAACTTTTCCATCGTATATCCAGTTGCTGCTTTCAGTTTCACCATTCTCCAATCGACCTGCCTTCCATGGTAGGACAGCTAAACAAACACATGTTGCAGTCAATACAGTTCGGTTGGATGATCACGATGGAGAAGCCTGACCACCACCACCTCAAAGTAACAGCTACAGTCGGCAATTAGCTCAAAACCTGGATGTAATGTTTCCTGATTATTAAACGTATTCAACAACTTTATATTGAACAACTAGACAAACAAGTAGTACAATACAAATAAGAAGTGATTTAGACTAATTAGTCACATAGTAAAATGACTTGATATATACGTATATATACATATATGTATAACACAACACACACACTTACAGGATAATGATTCGACGATCGACTATCACTTGAATAATCTGTACGTCCATAGGATTTGCCACCTGTGGTATTCGTACTAGCCGTATCACCACCACCACCACCAGCTACCGCTCCATTGTCAACCATAGATCGTGATCGAAATAGTTCAGTATCAGTGAAACGACGAGAAAGACTTGTAGTATTATTATTATTATTATTATTATTATTATTATTATTATTATTATCTGAATATGGTTTATTCCAAGCTGTGGAAGTATGACTTAACTTGGCGTATTTATTATTATTATTATTATTCGATACTCCTGATGTATCCGTCAACGATGATGACGGCGACTTATCAACAGACGACAGAGAATCTGTTGGCTGATAATTATTATTACTATTACTAGTATTGTTATTTTTATCAATTAACATTTTCGCTTGTTCTACATCTTCTAACGAAACACCTTGAGTAGATCGTCGAGTCGACCGAACATAACGTGCTTTTACACTACGTTGTGTTTCTGTCTCACCAGATTTTGTCGGCGCCATTACAACAGATATTCTAACGAAGAAACAGAAAAAGACAAACAAGACCAATTTCAAAAAGTGTGGCATAAAACATAAACGTTACAAATGATTGAACGTTAGAACAAAAAAAATAACCAATAAGTTTATTGATCTTCTATCGAATAAAGGTTGTTTTCACATGAAATCTGGTACTGTGGTGGGCGCTACTTATAAGTAGTATATGACGTGAGTGTCAACGTAATGTCTGGTGGCAGCAGAAGATGAGGGAAGATCAAGAGAAAGGAAGAAGAGTGGGAGGAACACAGTGGGAATTTGTATGAAACGCATGAATAGTGGTGAAATGTCAGACAATGGATTGATGATTGATTGAAGATTTGCAAATTTCACCGTTTACGATATGGTTTTCCTATTTTACTGAGTAACTCTGTAATTTTCGTTAAAATACAATTCGGTTGCCCTCACCTGTGTTCTCCTTCACTACACTTGTATGTGAGCTATACTGGCCAATCAAACGCAAATAATTGCTTTCTTTTTAGTAGCAGACCATTTTACATGAGCCTTTGAACTACGACTAGTCGACCTACATCACAAGCCGACTTTCTATAATAATAATCAGTCAGTAACTAAAAATAATAAATTTATTTACTGTCCGTTCTTCCAAGATCCTGAAGGCCGGCCGTATATACAGTACGTCTTGAACTATTCAAGGCGCATTTGCATAGACACTAACCGAATTGAAGCGCCGGCCGTTCAAGTTTGAAAAGAGATCCTTTTTTGCTAAGTTTTGTATTTTTTAAAAGTAAGATGGTTTCAAGTGAAAAAAGTCACTTATATAAACTCTAGTATGTTTAGTATGATTTTGAAATGCACTGTCTTTTAGTCATTTTATCGGTATTAACCAAAGCATCCAAGATCATATTTGATTTGATTGATTTACGCCTGTTACCCCCAATGGAGCATAGGCCACCCACCAGTTTTCGCAAACCAACTCTGTCCTGGGCTTCCCTTTCCAGTTCTGTCCAATGTTTGTTCATTCCTCTCATATCTTTCTCTATTTCTCGGCGTAATGTATTCCTTGGCCTTCCTCTTTTCCTTTTACCTTGAGGGTTCCATGTGAGGGCTTGTCTCGTGACGCAGTTAGGTGCTTTCCGCAATGTGTGTCCTATCCTTTTCCACCGCTTCTTCCTGATTTCCTCCTCCACTGGAATCTGGTTTGTTTTCTCCCACAGTACGTTGTTGCTGATGGTGTCTGGCCAACGAATCCGAAGTATTTTGCGTAGACAACTGTTAATAAACACTTGTATCTTGTGGATGATGGCTTTCGTAGTTCTCCATGTTTCCGCTCCATACAGTAGAACTGTCTTGACATTTGTATTGAAAATCCTGATTTTGGTTTTGGTTGAAAGTTGTTTGGAGTTCCGGTTATTTTTCAACTCTAGAAATGCAGCCCTCGCTTTGCCAATCCGAGCCCTCACATCTGCATCCGATCCACCTTTCTCGTCGATGATGCTGCCCAGATATGTAAAGGTGTTAACGTCCTCCAAGGCATCTGCATCAAGAGTGATTTGGTTGGTGCATGTTGTGTTGCATCGGAGAATTTTGCTTTTTCCTTTATGTATGTTGAGACCTACTGCTGCAGAGGCTGCTGCTACACTGGTCGTCTTCTCTTGCATTTGTTGTTGAGTGTGCGATAGAAGAGCCAAGTCATCTGCGAAGTCCAGATCGTCCAGCTGCGTCCTAACTGTCCAGTTGATACCGTGCTTCCCTCCAGACGTCGACGTTTTCATAATCCAGTCGATGACCAGGAGAAAGAGAAAGGGTGAGAGTAAGCAACCTTGCCTGATTCAAAATAATTAGAACACCAGTCAGCCAGTCAGTCAGTTACAACGTTGAACTTGGTACGTACGTACATCATTCCAAGTTGCCATACTATATAAATACACAAAGACGCAATTGTCAGTTCAAATCAAATTGTGGTAGAGATAACAGGATTATTAGAGGTAATAGAGAAGATTATGGTTCGAAGATATTATTCAAGTAGTATAATAATCTAGTGAAATAAATTTAGAAAGAGAAAGATAAAGGCGTTGAGGAATCCAGAAGATTAAAAATTTGAGAGCAGACAAAAAATCGATGCACTTGAACCATTATAAACGTTCAAGGTCTCTAACCATCGGTTACTATCACCTCGCGGACCCCAACCAAGGTAGTCTACATTCACCAACATGACTCGGTCGAGTTGTCAGTGACTTTATGGATTTCTGCCATATTTTGTTTAGGCCGCCCCTAGCTTTCTTCCAATCTATTCCTACATCACAAAACATCGCTCGTCCATGTAGTCTGTTGTTGGGCATTCGTGAAATATGTCTCAACTATCTCAACTGATGAAGTTTCACCACTTCACCGATTGATCTGTCATCCCTCCTTAGTACTCATTTCCTTAATGACAGCATTGCTTACTCAGCTGTCCCAGGATATACGAGCAATGCTTTGAAGACATCTATAATCGAATACTAATAACCTACGAATGTATTCTACACACATAACAGCCATGTTTCGCAGCCATAAAGTAGGACATAGTCAGTCAGTCAGTTGAAACGTACAACTTCGTACGTATGTACATAAGTTCAGGTTGCCATACCACATTAGCACACAGTGATGCAAATGTTAAATCAAATCCCATAGTGATAAAGATAGTAGAGGTATTAATGGTAATAAAGAAGACTAGGGTTCGAAGATATTATTCAAGTATGATTCAGTGAGATAAGGTTAGAAAGACAAAGGTAGAGGTGCTGACCAATCCGGAAGTTTAGGATTTGAGAGAGCTCAACGAATGGATGCACTTGCGCCACTGCAAACGATTCTGAGCCATATCGTTCAAGGTCTCCAATCATCGGTGACTTTCGTCTCGCGGACCCCAACCAAGTAGCCTACATCTACCAACATGACTCAATCCACTTGTCAGTGATTTAATGGATTTCTGTCATGTTTTGGTCTGGCCGCCCCTAGCTTACTTCCAATCTACACCTACACCACAAAACATTCATCGCATATCAAATATACTATTTGATGAAAACAAATTATTTATTGAATCACAGAAGAATGTATTTCCTGTAAACTTGAAATTCATATGATTAGAAATAGTCAGTTTGAAACAACCATGAATTTGGGATATTATCTATAGACTGACACTAATTGTCAATACATCTTTCATTTCACTCACACACGAAACTCTCAAATCTAATGGTCATATATAGTAAGGGGTCTTATCAATGAACAATTGTCTCACATAATCCTAATATACAATGATATGAGTACTACAAAAGTAATCATGAGATATCCTGACTGTAGCTGCAACCTTGACATGGTGTAGTCGAGCTTGTCTACCGTGATGACCATCCAACTGAGCTATATTGGCAACAAAATATGTTCCTGTAGGCTCGAACATACCAGGCCGGTCGATTGGAGAGCGGTGAGACTAAAATCAGAAACTTAAAGTCTGACGACGAAGTCGTACTGCTGACTGTAGATAGACTTGACAACAGTAAGGTGTTTCCTTCAGGCCACCAGCATCTGCAACGGAAGGAAGGGGTTATGGACGGTTGACACTAAAAATGTCAAACCTCGCATTATTATTCCATGGATTTCCATCGCCGGCGGTAAGAACTTTTAAAGAGCAGAGCTAACACGTTAACTTTCCATGAAAAGGTCATGCGCAGCGAGCCTCAAGTAGTTTTCTCTTCGGACCTGTGTTCATGCTTCCAGATCGCTAAGACTAACGCTAATCTCACTTCCTCAAGAAACTCCCTTTTTAAGGTGTGGGCAGCTGGGAAATAACATCTTCCCTCATACACGTAATAGCACACCGGACCTAATCGCGGTCACAATCAAACATGAAACATGTAATCAAACCCCAATTACTATAATTAATATTTTTTTTCTCAAAAAAAAACAGCATCAGATTACGTTATAACTTACCGTCGATTGGTTGTAATCTCAGGTGTAGGACTGGACAATTTATTATCAGTTTCTTTTTCATCAACATTCATTTTCTGTGGATCATTTCGCTAAAAATGAATACAAAACAACTTATATATATATATATATATATATATATATATATAGGTGGATAAAATTATCACAGATATGTATATATATGCATGTATGATTGCTTCACTTATCTCGAGAGTCTCATCAGTGCTGAAGGCCTAGTGACTGATGAAATCGCAGTACGGATACAGAAGGCTCGATTAGCTTTTGCCAACCTGAGTCACTTATGGCGTAGACAAGATATCCGTTTGCTGACTAAAGGACGAGTGTACTGTGCAGTAGTTCGCTCCGTCTTACTTTATGGCTGTGAAACATGGCTAGTAAGAGTAGAAAATAATAGTAGGTTACTAGTTTTCGATCATCGATGTCTTCGAAGCATTGCTCGTATATCGTGGGACAACCGAATATGTAATGCTATTATTAGGAAACAAGTGCTAAGTAAGAATGGCGGGTCAATAGATGAAGTAATGAAACTTCATCAGTTGAAATGGTTGGGACATGTGTTACGAATGCCTAACCACCGACTGCCTCGTCGAGCTATGCCCTGCAATGTAGGAATAGGTTGGAAGAAAGCTGGGGGCGGCCAAACCAAAACATGGCACAAATCCATGAAGTCACTGACAAGTAGGTTGAGTGATGTTGGTAGTAGGTGTAGACTACCTAGTTGGGGTCCGCGAGATGAAATGACTAGAGACTATGAATCATATAGCTCAAAATCGTTTGCAATGGCGCCGGTGCATCTATTCTTTGGGTTCTCTCATCACCTATATCTTTTTATTCTTAAATTTATTTCACTAGATACTACTTCTTGAATAATATCTTCTCATTCTAACCTCTCCAATTACTGTTAAAACCTTTACTACCTCCACTACTATGGGATTTGAATTGACAATTACATCTCTGTGGGCTAATGTGGTATGGCTACTTAAACGTACGTATCTACGAAGTTCTACGTTGCTATTGATTGATTGATTGATTGACTGATTGACATACATATATATACCACTCAGTAATTTGAGATGTTCGATAGTTGTAAGTAGTCCATCCATACTGTTTCAGACAACCTGTCTGGTTCAATGCTTATTAGTACATGGTTCTATACTTTGTACATACATAAATCAATCTATCAATCAATCAATCGATCAATCAGCGCCTCCTAGTAGCTGGAATCAATCAATTTCAATTGACAATCCAATCACAAAAACAATGAGTGAGTGAGTGATAAGCTAATATTACATTACACTGCCACTTATATTTATTTTATTTAGTTAGTATTACTCTTACTCTAGGTTTGACAGCAATAATCTTTGTAATTGTACGACCTGTTCCTGATGAACTGATAGTGTGAGTTGGTAGTGTTGGTGTTGGTGTTGTTGATGGTGCTGTTGGTGTTGTTGTTGTTGTGGTTGATAATTCTTTATAAGTAGTAGTAGTAGTAGTGGTAGCAGTAGTATCTGGTTTCTCATCCATAGGACGTTTATTACTAGATGGAGCTGTGATAATGCTTATAATACCAGTTTTAAATTTATTCTCATTGGAATCATTGTGCTTATGATATGTTTGATCGGATATTATATTGTTTGTACTAGTACTAGTACTACTACTACTAATAATAGTCGGAAGAGTTCTTGATGCTGATGATGATGATGCTGCTGCTGATGCTGATGAAGATGATGCTGATGAGTGTGTAGAAACTGGAGTAGCAGTAGAAGTAGAAGTAGGAGTAGTAGAAGTAGTAGTAGTAGTTACCTTCATGACGAAATTATCTAAAACTTCTTGTTCCATCCAATTATCATTATTATCATTCATCAATGATGAATAATCATTATTTCCAGTTGATGGTATAGGTGATGTCGTTGTGGCTGATGATGTAATCATAACAGATGGTAATTGATTGGATGTGATAGATTTTACAGTTGTTTTCAATGGTTGAACATGATAATTCGACAAGGAATCTCCATCATCTTAATAGGGGGGATTGAAAAAATAATAATTAGGTAGAAATAGTAATAGAAGGTAAATGGATGGCTTTATGAAATATTGTACACTCCTTTCAGAAAAACAATCAAAGACAATGGTCATATGGGATAGTTTACTTTTGTATATTGATTGCATTGTTTTGTGGTTAATGGTATCACTAGTTTCATGATGGTTGATATTCAACTTGTGCTTAGTCTTCGTAATTTGCTCGTCTAGGCAATCGTCATCAAAAATCAGAAGGTGAACACGAAGTGTTGAATACGTTTATTTTCGTACACACCACAAAATCGACCAGCAAGACCACAATCACACAGGGCAGGGTAAGCATACTAGCGAGCGAATTGGTGAATGTATTAATAAGATTAAAATGTTCATATATATATATATACATAGGGAAATGTCGAGTCATCAAGATAGTTGAGAGATTATTATTAAAGCGAATAGGATGAGTATGTGCGTATGCAGTAAACAACGTTCAGTCGTCCCAGCTCATACAAACCAGATGATAGTAAAAAACCAGCGGTACAGCCTAGAAGATTGCTGACCTTTAACTGCCTAGTGGTGAAGCTTATAAGTAAATATTCAATCCCATCTTGTTGGAAGTACTTTTCTTGATGTTCAGGTATAGTGTACTTATTTGTCAACTATTCCTTTTGTTCTTCAGTCCGATATATTGTCCTACAGAAACCTTTGACTGTATAGCACAAGCTGTACCATTTAAGGTATTTTGCGAATTCAATAAAATGTGTTTTCCTTACCAAAATAGAACCATTCAAATAGAGCACAAAAGTTGTTTTTTCATAAAACATAATACGAGTTACTCAAAAACACTTTGAATATTTTGTGGATAGTCGTAGTTGCGTCCAATCAAATAAAAACTTTGCCTACATCCTCATCACAGTAGCATAATATTTTTTCAATTTTTCGTGGCAGACATGGAGGCATTCATTACCTTATGGTGGCCAGTGTATCACTAGTTTCGTGATGGTTGATATTCAACTTGTGCTTAGTCTTCGTAATTTGCTCGTCTAGGCAATTGTCATCAAAAATAGCTCCTGACGGTTTAAGTCAGAATGCAAACACGATGGGTTGAATATGTTTATTTTCGCACACACCACAAAATCGACCAGCAGACCACAATCACACAGAGCAGGGAAAGTACAGTGGTGAGCGAATTGGCGAATAAGATTAAAATGTTCATATATATATACACAGGGAAATGTCGGGTCATCGAGATATTTGACAGCGAATCGGATTAATATGCGCGTATGCAGTAAACAACGTTCACCAGATGACAGCTGTTGCTATACAAGTGGCTTGGTTAAATAAGTTAATCGTAAGGCTTAACTAAATTAAATACAAGCGAACTCAATTATATGTGGAGGCAATACAGCCTGAAAGTTAAGACTATGATCAGTTTCATAATAGAAGGAAACGGCTACCCATTAATTCTAGGCTTTTTGATAGTGATCTAACAATGATCTATTCCTGATTTCAATAAACTGTAATTGTCGAATAAAATTATGATCCAGTCAGGGCAAGGGAGGATAGGCTAATGTGTTCATATCATAATTCAATGGCATTACGGTGTTATGAAGATTGTTAAGTTACCCATTAAAATCATAAATCGATCAATGTTAGACCATCATCATTAGAAACCTGGAAGAACTGGACGGCCGTCTCGTCCTGGTAGGGTGGAACTCATCATCAGTGTGCATCCACGACTCTTCCATCTGACCGTAGCTGCTACCTTGAAGTGGTGGTCGGGTTTGCCTGTCGTGATGATCCAAACGAGCTATATTGGCTAAAACATATGTTGCTGAAGGTTCTACCATGCCAGGCAGGTCGATTGGAGAACGATGAGACTAAAAGCAGCAACTTAAGGTCTGAGGGTGAGTTCGTACTGATGACTGTAGAGAGACGTGACTGTAGTAAAGTGTTTCTCTCAGACAACCAGCATTAGCAGCGATGCTGCCATCTTATAAGGAAGGAAGCGACTAGAAAATGTCGACCCTAAAGATGTCACAACTCACTTTACCTCACGGATTTACATCTCCGTCGTTAAGGGCTGCTCCATAACGGCTTTTAAGAGCGGAACTAATACTAAAAAAACCTTTCATCAAAAGGCCGTGTGCGTGACCGGCCTCAAGCTGTTGTCCCTTGGGCTGTGCGGTAACGCTCCCAGGTCGTTAAGACCGACAATAATCTACTTTTCTTTTTCAGGTTCCTCAAGAAAACACCCTTCCACAGCATGGACAGCCGGGAAGTGACAACCGCCCTCATACCCATAAAAGCACACGAGACCGAATAGGTTATAAACAAATCCTTTCTACACCTGACTAACTAGGACTCTGTCAGTGATGTTGCACACTAATAGATCTCGATCATGATTTGAAAGTTACGCGTTCTCGTACAAGAGACTGAATATCGTTGGTGCAAAAATCCGGTCGCAAGGTCGTGGATGGACAATGTTGGGCAGCTACTACTTATATACTAGAAAGAAACGGCCGTCCAGCGCTTTCAAACTTTTAATGGTATAATTACTATAACTAACTAACCATGTACTCTAGACATATATGTGGCATTTAACCATTAATCAGTCAGACATGACACATTCAACCAGACGATGACATTATTTGTGTTATGCTCGTCACTAGGTATGCTTGAATGATATTACGGGTTCACCTTAGTCGAAAAAGGAAAACGAGACAATCAACTAGCCTCCAGTTAGGCTACCTTGATCCGTTGACTAACGAAAAGTCTTCATATAGCGTAGAAAGTATATTCTACAAACACCCAGCAATCACACAATGAATCCAAGCACACATCCTAGAAACGTCCTTAGGAGAGTCATAAAAATAGCACACACACAAATAACACAGTAACCAATCACAACCAAGTATTCTCCTGGTGGGAAATGCGATCTCAAGGTCAACTGATCCACCCCATGCTCGCAAACATAAAATCCAAAATTAAGGCATTTTTACCAAGTGAGTTCTGGGGAATCTAACACATCCCCAAACAATTTGTTAAAAAAATGTATACCAATCATTAGAAATATATATATATATGACTAACAACTACTAACTACTATACCTGATGATAATAACATTTGTTCTTTTTGAGAAGGAGCAGTAACAGCAACAGCATCAGTAGCAGGTGCCATAAATGATTGTTGTTCATTGGTGAATTGATTAAATTGAGTAGTCGTCGTCACAGTGGAAGATTTCAATGCCTCTGTTTGTTCTTTTAGTACAGATGATAATAATGTCGGAGAAGTAGACAACGACGTATCATTAGTAGTACTAGTAGCATTCACTGTTCTACCACTACTACTTACATCGTCAACGTCAACAATTTTCTTGATTAACTCTGACGAGGCATCATCATTTGACGATAATGACGATGATGATGATGAGGATGTCGTCGACGTCGTTTTCGAGTAAACATCTTGTTCAACAGCTGTTGTTGTTGTTTTTGGCTTTTTATTTACAAAATCCGAAGAGGATTGATCAATTTCAACAAGAGAATTATCATCATCATCATCAGTGTCACCCTCCTCCTCCTCGTTGTTGTCGCCGTCATCATCAGCACTATGATTAACATTATTATTAATCGTTTTCATAGGTTCATCCGTTTCCAGTACAACAGGATGACTAAAGGGAAAAGAAACAAACATGCTTGTAAGACAATCAATCAATCTAACTAAGCAGTAAATGAGACAGAAAATTAATCAAAATTAGACATAATCACAGTACAGTACAGTTTGTATGTAACAACACACATTCACATATATATGTGATGAATGAATTATAATTCACAATTTTTTTCATTTAAATAATTTAGAGTACAAAAAAATGAAATCCAGTGAACAATAAAATAAACACACATTAATTAGAGTAAAACAATTAATAAAACAAAAACTGAAAGATTGAACAGTGAAAATTACAGTTTATCATAAAAAAAAGATAAAATTTCAAGGTCATGTTGTACAAAGTAATGGAACTGCAGATGAGATGCTGGAGAAAATTCGTAGCTCACGTGGATGATTGTGGTGGTAGTGGTGTTTCGTTCTCTGTGTTGGATGTGGTTTGGTTGTGGAGATTTTATCGCTGTTCTTCTTCTGAACAACAACATCATTATCAGCAAAAACTTCAGGTAGATAAAAGTGAAGTATTCGAATTTCTCCACGTTTGACCTGTAGCTTGTTCAGTTAACCTCGATCTTGATTGGTTACTGTTGAAGCTAACACCTATCGTTGTTTGCACCTTTGTATCCCCCTTTTTGATCTGGCGGGGGAGATAAAGAGTGAATGCATCTACGCACGACTGTGAAAGATTCCAAGCCATATGTGTATGACACTTAAAGACTCTAAATACTTGTTGCGATTGTCACATGGACCTTACAACCAAGTAGTAGTTTGTATCGACCAACATAACTGAATTTGATATAAACAATAACTCTATTGGTTAATGGAAACAGATGAGAGAAAAATGAACAAATGTTGGACAGAACTAGAAAACGAAGCCCAGGATAGAGTAGACTGGAGAATACTAGTCAGTGGCCTATGTTCCATTAGGAGGTAACAGGTGTAAGCAAGTAACTTTATTGGATAATACCAAAAATTAGTGTAGTTTCGCCGAATTTTCATCGAATCGAATAGTAAAACTTTAAACTATAGGATGATATAATACGTCTATCATATGTCAAATGAATCGATATAAGAACAAAAAGGAAATATATCAATCAATAAATTTAGGTGGAGTTTACGAGTTGTTTTATGAATGTTTTGTCAAACTTTATTCACTCAATATACAGTATATATATATATAAAGGTACGGTTTAGAAAGACAGAGTAACGTTGTTCAATCATAACAAGCAGTAAAATGAAGAATATCAATATTTTATCCTGCACTGATTGTAGTCACACATTCATTTCGTTAAGTGCCAGCCTACTCAGTATTCAAGAAGTTAAGTATTGCTCATACACAAGCGTGAAAGACCTAGGTTCGATTCTTGTTTGAAGAGGTCATGAATGAGCATCACTACAACTGAGAAGTGTCCTCATACTTGGTAGGATGAAACAAACGTCCAATATTTCGAAGGATGTGATCTACTAACATTGATCATCGATAGATTTATGGTTTCAATGAAAAAACTGGAAGTTGTAAGCATTTTTTTTGTGCATCGAACAAATAAATGTATCTTGAGCATGTGTACACAATAAATTCAGAAGTGTTTTTTATATTTTCGTAGTTATTAATAAATATGTGATTAAAAAGACTTTCTTATTGCATATATATATATATATATATATATATATATATATATATATATGTGGTGTGAGCTACTTAGAAGTAGTATATGACGTGAGTGTCAACGTAATGTCTGGCAGCAGCAGAAGATGGGGGAAGATCAAGAGAAAGGAAGAGTTAGAAGAACACAATGGAATTTGTATGAAACGCATGAATAGTAGTGACAATGGATTGATGTTTTGCAACAGGAACAACAGTTCAGTTCGATATGATGAACTGTTATTTTGCAAATGAACAATTTACGATATGGTTTTCCGATTTTACTGGGTAACTCTGTGATTTTCGTTAAATACAATTCGGTTGCCCCACCTGTGTTCTCGTTCACTACATATATATATTGTGTACACATGCTCAAGATACATTTATTTGTTCGGTGCACACAAAAAATGCTTACAACTTCCAGTTTTCATTGAAACCATAAAATCGATCAATGTTACACCAGCATTCGAAATACTGGATGTTTGTTTCATCCTACCTAGTATGAGGACACTTCTCAGTAATAGTGATGCTAATTTATGACCTCTTCAAACGGGAATCGAACCCAGGTCTTCCGATCATGTGTATGAACAATACTTAACTTCTCGACTACTTAGTAGGCCAGCAATCTAACGAAATGAATGTCTAACTACAATCAATCTATGAAATTTGAAAATCTTCACAACCTTATATATATAATTACTAACTAGAGAATATGACAAAATCTAACATTCAATAAACATGTTTTTTGTAACTAAATTCGAATGCACACAAGTGTATGTATTACCGATCATAATGATAGTAATAATAAAAATAAACACCTGCTGATATGAAATATAAAGCTATTATTAACTATCATTGCCTATGATTGCAAAAATTGCGTCACTTTCTCTTATTCATCAATCAATCAAAGCACTACATAAAAAAAGCAATGGGCTACGTACGATACACCACACATTACATATTGACTGATAGTAAGTAGTAAGGCAAGAGTAAAAAAAAGAGAAAACAGGTCATATGATATTATAAAAAAAATTAAACATATGTTGTAGCCTTTTGTAGGCAAAATAGATCATATATATACATGTCGAAGGAAAGAGGAAGGAAGAATTTTAAAATAGCCAGTCAGATGCAACGTAGAACTTCATAAGTAAGTACATCAGTTCGTGTTGCCATACCACATTAGCACACAGAGATATAATTGTCAATTCAAATCCAATAGTAGAAGAGGTAGTAAAGGTATTAGAAGTAATCGGAGAGGTTAGGATTAGAAGATATTATTCAAGAAGTATGATTCAGTGAGAAAAGTTTAGGGAGTCGAAACTAGAGGGGTTGAAGAATCCATAAGATTAGGGTTTGAGAGAACACAAAGAATAAATGCACCGGCGCCATTGCGAACGATTTTGAGCCATGTCATTCAAGGTCTCTAACCATCGATTATTATCATCTCGTGGACCCCAACCAGATAGCCTACATCTACCGACATGACTCAGTCCACTCGTCAATGACTTCATGGATTTGTGCCATGTTTTGGTTTGGCCTCACCTAACTTTCTCCCATACTACTCCTACACTATAAAACATAACTCGTCGAGGCAGTCGGTGGTTAGGCATACGCGACACATGTCCCAACCACCCCAACTGATCAAGTTTCATTATTTCATCTATTGACCTGCCATTCTTAACTAGCACCCGTTTCCTAATAACAGCGTTGCTCACTGGGGTGTCCCACGATATACGATCAATGCTTTGAAGATACCTGTGATCGGAAACCAATAACCAACGAATATCTTCTACTCTCACTGACCATGTTTCACAGCCATAAAGTAAGACGGAGCTAACTACTGCGCAGTACACTCCTTCGAGTAGAGGGATTGTATAAGGTTAATGTACTTCTTTGGTACACCTTTCAATGACAGACACTACCACAGAACCAAAATGTAAGAAAATGAGAGAGAGAGAGTTGATGATGATAGTATCTACACAATAAATGATAACAACACACATTCTCTCATGTATCTTGTATCAACCAATATCCACTTAATGGTAAGCTGATGACGAAGAAATGTATGTATAGTTTAATTTGAATATGCTACACCGGTGAGAATGATAGTCTCTGAACTAGTTGTACAGACCATGATAATTTTTCTGAAACAAACAAATCAACTGTCTTAGAGAACATGCCATCTCCAACAGGATGATATTATTACTATAATTGGGATCACTACTACTACATGTTTGAATTTATTTTCTGGTTAGCGTTTTTTTTAACGACCAACCCCACGGTTAACCCTCCTGTTATAACGCTCAGTTAATAATTCCCAGATAATTCCTATTGCTTAGTATTCTCTGACAACAACAAACTCGACAAGTCCCAAAATCACAAAACACAGTGGAACAGGAATCGGATTATATTCCGAATACTAAGATTAACTGGAAGTAAGAAGCTGAAGCGAGGGCGAAGGCAAAATAGATACAACGTTAGTATTTTTATAGTCTTTTACATGAGAAGCTTCTGGAATGTAATTTACGTGATTGACTAGCACTGACCGGATTAGATTCAGCTAATCAGCATGTAGCTAACAACACGAGAATTTTCTAGCCTACTCTCCAAATATGGGCTAGGCGCTGTTGATTGAATAGGAAATTAGCCAATCAGCGCGCAGCTAACGCCACTAACACCTCCCTATTTACCCGGGCTTAGGACTGGCAATAGCCCCAGAAGGGTTCCAGTCTTGTGACGCGAAATGCACCCAACCGTGTCACAAGACAAGTCGTTACTTAGAACCCTCAAGGTAAAACGAAAAGAGGAAGGCCAAAGAACACATTACACCGAGAAATAGAGAAAGACATGAGAAAAATGAAAGAAAATTGGACAGAACTGGAAAGGGAAGGGCCCAGAACAGAGAAGGTTGGAGAAAAATGGTCAGCGGCCTATGCTCCATTGGGGGTAACAGGCATAAGTACTACTAAGTGTACATGTACAGAGTAGTGTTCATAATTGATTTATTGTATACGGATACGTATAATTAAATGAGACATAAATGTATTGCAAAATATTGAAACAATATATAATCATTAAAAAAGAAAATTAAAAAATCAATCTGTGTACTTTTTTTTATTTGTATGCGAACAAAAAACGAAAAAGAAAAAGTAATAAATCATGAAAAGAAAAATGCAAAACTGTGATTACAGTTTCAATAATTTACAATGGTCTATAACATTGATCGATCGATCGATGAATGATTTTAAATAAAAAAATTAAAACTCAATAAAAATTATTGATTATTATTATTAATTTTCTTGAATCGATTAAGTGAATTAGTGTTAGACTACCACCATATTAGAAACCTGGAAGTACTGGACGGTTGTTTCGTCCTGGTTCAGGGACTCATCAGTGCGCAGTGTGCATCTACGACTTTCGATACTCACAGAAGTCGAACTCACGAGCTTCAGTCTTGCTCGAGAACTCTTAACCTCTAGACTACTGAGCCGACATCCAGCGGTGTTAACGACTTCGACTAATCCACAGTCTTGAGGGCAACTTCATCCACACACTGCTTTCGGTGAGTACTGACTGCTTCACTTCCGAATAGGGTTGAACTACACTGGTCATCACTTCTAACCGGAACTTGAAGAAACGTCCTCTATCAGGACGAAGCAGCTATCCTGTGCCTCTAGGTTTCTTATGGTGGTCTAACATTGATCGATTTTATCATTTCAAAGGAACTCAACAATCCCCACAAGCCTATAATAATAATTAAAACTTACTAATAGGTTGACACATATATTTGGTGCATATACATACACATACTAGTTATCTAAACTGTTGAATAGACAGGTAGATAGATAGACAGATAGATAGAGTTCATTAAAATAAACATGTCACATTCAACAAACAGGAATCGATTCCATGTACAAGCACGCACGCACACACACAGACAGACAGACACACGTACACAAAGGATAGACGATTAGTCATTCAGCGTTACGTTGATTGTCAACATTAAGTAATAAGAATAGTTAGTTTATCATCATGACTCATGCAGTTAATCGAGATGATTTAATTTGGCGAAAAAATGATTTGCAAAGCTTACGTCAATAGAGAGGATAGATGATAGTTGATCTATTCAACTTTGAACAAATTTACTTAATGTACATACATTGTGTATACACATGATTGTACAGACAGTTAGTCAGTCAATCAATCAGCTACAATATAGAACAATGGTTCAAGTTGTCAGATCACTTTAGCACAGTGAGAGAGAGATGGAATAATATTCATATCAAAACCCATAGTAGTTGACGTAGTAGTAGTAGTAGTAGTAGCAGTATTAGCGACATAGAGAAGATTAAGGTTCATCACTGAAAGAATGGATTCACTGCCTAGGGTTCAGTCAGTCGGTCAGTCAGTTACAACATAGAACTTCGTACGTAAGTACATCAATTCAGGTTTCCATGCCCCATCAGCACATAGACACAAATGTCAGTTCAAATCCCATAGTGGTAGAGTTAGTAGAAGAATTAGCGGTAATGGAGGATATCAGGGTTCGAAGATATGATTCAAGAAATATAATTCAGAGAGATAACTTTAGAAAGAGAAAGATAGAGATGATGAGGATTTCTAAAGATTAGAATTTGAGAGAACACAAAGATGGTGTGCACCTGCGCCATCGCAAACGATTTTTCATCCATGTTATTCAAGGTCTCTAACCATCGGTGACTTTCGTCTTGCGGACCCCAACCAGATAGTCTACATCTACTAACACGACTCAATCAAGTTTTCAGTGACTTCGTAGATTTGTGCGTCTCTGTGCTAATGTGGTAGGTATGGCAACAAGAACTGATGTACTTACGTACGAAGTTCTACGTTTCAGCTAACTGACTGACTGACTGCCATGTTTTTTTTCGGCCATCCCTAGCCTTCGTTGATACAACAGAATAATTTTTTAGCTATTTACTATTGTAAAACCTTATTGAACAATAAGTTAATTGATAGAGTAATTTACAAGGAAATTTGTCAGTATGCGCGGAATTCGAGATCTGATCATATTATGAGACATCTGAACAAGGACTGACTTCTAATTGAGCGAAAAGGCAAGCATGGAGAAGAAAGTTCATCTGTCTACCAAATGATATACTTAAATTTTTCATTCCTCCCGCTCAAAAAATACATTCATTTTTTTGACCAATGGTACACATTCGTCCTCTAGGTCATTTCCAGTTGCCACTAAATGACCTTCTCATTCGCTCACTTCTGATTGGCTCTTAGAATGAAAATTTTTTTATAAATTATACAACCTTCAAGATTTTCTATTGCACGTTATGGAACTTGACGTGAATAATTTTTAGTCAGATAATTGAATTTAGATTTGTTGTAGGCGGTTGAAGAAAATACGCACACACACACGCACACTACTGAAACAGGGAGTACCAATCAACGACCATCCAATGTGAGAATGTCAACATTTCGCCAGATGATCAAGGAAAGAAAACACAGTGATGAAAATAAACTGCCAAATGTAAACAGTGTTCTTTCAACATCACGAAAAGAAAAAGAGGAGAGGTGAAAGATTAGAGAGTGCAAAATGTTTATGATCAGTAAAAAACATAAAAATTTACATTACACAATTTGATAATCATAACAATACGGATAAATAGTAATTGTAATTTTATGGTCGAACTAATACAGACTTTCTTTAACATATTCAAAACTAACTGATTTTTACTTCTTATCGTCATCATCATCATCATCATCAATATTGACAGATAGGAAAAAATTAGATTAGAATTTAATCTGTACTGATATATAAGTCAACTTAATCAAAAATTTGAATTTTAATGTGAACCTATTATGTTAGAAAGTGATACGCATGCACGTAAACACGTCATTTGAGATGCTTGAACTATTAGGAGTTCACCTTTGGTCAATAAACGAGAGCAAGGATCGAGGATCCGCCGACACGACATGCTACTCTAATCCAAGTGTCCCAACCCTGATTGAGTGAAAAAAAACTTTTGATATGAAGTAGAACATGTATTCTACAAGCATCCAGAAAGTACGAGGTCCGAGTCCAGAAGAGGATATGGATCTCGGACTGAGGATCCGGGTCATAAAACGTTACAGGTAATCAGTATTTATACAGTTAGATTGATGATTGGTAAGGACAACAAACAAATAATCAATAGATGACGAAGGTGATTTGCGGAAATTGTATTCTTTTGACAATAAAAATCATAAACTAATCTTAGCTAGACCAGCATTGGAAACCTGTGAACATTGGATGGCGGTTTCTTTCTAATATGAGACACCTCAGTAATGCATATCCACAAACCCTGCACGCAGAAGTCGAATCAACGACCTTCATTTCTGTGCACGAACATTTAACCTCCAAAACTATGATCGTGCACAACCTTCATATATCGCCTACGGTGAATACCTGTCTCACACCAGTGAGCCTATTCTCTAGAGCTTAAGTGCTTTCACATACCAAACCAAAGGTCTTCGATTCGATTTTCGCAATACACAAGTCATGAGTACCTACTACTCCTAAGGAATCATATACTACGACGACGACATACTACGGTTATCCGATGGTCCAGCTAAGATTAAATTGTGATTTCAACTATGACAATAATCAATAATTCGACTTTTGGACAATTCACAGATGATGAGAGGGGAGGTAAGAGAGAGAGCATGAGTGAAAACTATTTCAACGCTACATAAACAACACTTAAAGGAGGACGGAGTGTACTGCTGAGCAGTAAGTACACTTGCCATTTGAGTTAACTAGCATAAATGCCATAAATGATGCAAGTTGGTTGGCTGAAAAAGTCAATCGAGCCCACCACCCACCCCAATTTGTGATCTACGCTGAGAACACATAAAAAATATGATTTGTGAATTGAATAAAATGTTAACATTAATCAATAAATAATGCATTGATTGATTTACCTTGGTTTATTATTCATGGATTCTGTTGTTTTTGATAACTCCAATAGTTTAGATGCATTGGATAATTTCTCCTAGAAATTTATAAATAAACAAGTTTTTTTTTAAAACTAAGAAAACAAAGCGACCATGTAATAATAACAATAATAATAATAATAATAATAGGAAACGAATCACTACTTGTAGTGTGGTGCGCGCTACTTATGAGTAGTATATGACGCGAGTGTAAACGTCATGTCTGGTGGCAGCAGAAGATGGGGGAAGATCAAGAGAAAGGAAGAAGAGCGGGAACACAATGGAATTTGTGTATGAAATAGCATGAATAAGTGAAATGTCAGACAAAATGGATTGATGATGGATTGAAGATTTGCAAATTAACCGTTTACGATATGGTTTTCCTATTTTACTGAGTAACTCTGTAATTTGCGATAAATACAATTCGGTTGCTCACACCCTAGTGTTCTCCTTCACTACACTAGGAGTAGTGAATGATAAAGTGATAGGATATTACAAGATTTGACTAGTATTACAAATCAATCAACAGCAACGTAAAACTTCGAAACTACGTGCGTACATCCATCGGTTCAAGTTGACATACCATCATCAGATTAGCACACAGAGAGATGTAATTGTCAATTCAAATCCTATGGTAGTAGAAGTGGTAAAGGTATTAACAGTAATCGAAGAGATTAGGGATCCACGATATTGTTCAAGAAGTAGAATCTAGTGAAATAAACTTAAAAAGATAAAGTGATGAGGAATTCAGAAGGTTACGATTTGAAAGAACACAAAGAATGAATGCACCTGCGCCATTGCACAACCGCTGTGAATAGACCAGTTGATATTGATCGAAATTCAATCGTACAATGGAATAACGCTACAGGTATTGGAAATGAAGGATACTAACTTCAAGTATTGGGGATACAAGCACACATATCAAACTGAAGAAGGATAAAAAAGGATGAAACGTGTATCTTAGATTGGATTGTCATAATTGGATACCGAACTGTTAAGATATTCATCAAATATCCTAAAAAAATTATTTTGTAATTCTAATTCTATTGATCAATATTTAAAGTCGTCCTAAACTATCAAGTTGACATACTTGACAGTCACAAATAGAACAAGCAAAGCAAGGCTAAAAGTTCGCGCGCGAAACCAAAGGTCTTCCGCTCAATTACTTCGAGCGGAAAAAGTCGTGGATGCGCAATGCTCACTAATGAGTCCCATACTATGACGAAATGGCCATTCAGTGTTTTCAGGTTTCTAATGATGGTCCATGTTAGGATGTTCATCAAACATTCTAAAGAGACTATTTTATAAGTCTAATTCTATTGGTCAATATTTAAGGTCGTCCTAAACTATCAAGTTGACATACTTCTAAATGTTCTTTCCTATTGGATAGTATTCACGGTCGACCTAATTGTATAAATATACATTGTCTGTAAAGTTTTATGCCCCTCTTCTTCTTCTTCTGTACAAAACCTCATATTTTTTGGGTGCTTATAGAATACACTTTCTACGCTATATCAAGACTTTTTGATACTCTTAGCGGTGGCTTGTAACACTCGGATTAGAGTAGCCAATCGTGTCACTGGGTCATCATTGTCTTAGCTCTCCTTTACCGACTCTAAGGTGAACTGGTAATAGTTGTTTCAAGCATATCAACTAACGAGCATAATACACATATAATGTCAACTAAAGTTTTGGTATAATTAGTATGTGGCTAGCAGTACAAGAATCCAAGACACACGTTTCATTACAGTTGGACATTGTTTCCAATTTGATGTACATGTATCTCAGTGTTGGTAATGTTCACATTATTGAAACGTACTCCAAGTAGAAAAGTATGACACAACACACACATATATAAATATATATAAACACACATAGAGAGACACTACTTACAGCTCTTTGTCTTTCACGAAGTTGTCTCAACAATACAATCATTTCTTTATCAGCTACATCGAATACAGATTGACTCTGAGGTAAAAAAAAAACAAGAAGAAGAGAATGAAAATGTGAGAAAAATAAAACTTTGATTGTTGGTTTGAGCAATAACTGGTGGGGGGTACATGATTAAAATAAAGTATTACGGGGTTGTGAAGTTTGTTAAGTTACACATTTTTTGAAACCATTAATCGATCAATGTTAGACCGACACCAATAGAAACCTGGAAGCACTTCGGTAGACACTGCCTACACCCGAACAGGTTGAACTTCACTGGTCACGTCTAACGGTTAGGGCGTTCGCGCACAATACTAAAGGTCATGGGTTCGAATCCTGCGGAGTGCAGGAGTCGTGGATGCGCACTGCTGAGTAGTCCCATACCAGGACGAAACGGTCGTCTTTCTGTGCTTCCAGGTTTCTAATGGTGGTCTAACATTGATCGATTCATGGTTTCAAAAAGTGTATAAAATAAAGTAATCCATTTTCATAACAAATAAGGAAAAAACCTCTCTGACTGCATCTACTGGTGTACAAAAGCAGTTAGTTCAACCGTAACTGCTTTGGATATTATCTCTAATTGAATAATGTAAGCACTTAGATAGTCTACTGTAACAAAACAAAACAAAAAACAACTGATTGTTGTGTTCAGTAGCATCTACCTATTTGTTATCCTGTACAATCAAGTCCTGAAATCATTTATACTACCACCAGTGATTCTCTACAAACAATGGCAATGGTCTAGTTCGTAGTCAATTAGATTCTACGTGTTTATCAGAGAGAGAGATAAAGCTTCATAAGAAAACTTATTTCAATGACATGAATACAAAAAAAAACAAAAGATTACTACTAACAACACCGACTTCTATTCCTAAAAACAGTAAGTGTTAACATATTAAGAGCTATAAATAGAAAGACAGAAAACGTTTTTAAACTTCTTTTAAACTCACATACCAGGTATAGACAAATTCGTATACTTGGCTTTGAATGACACTCTAAATATGTAAAGACAAATGATTACTACCTAGTTGTCCAGCCGGAGCATGGTTACAAACTAAAACTTAGTGGTTGCAACTCGAAAGATTTAACCTCTTCAGTGGTACACAACACTTATCAACGGCAATAGTAGCTTTTAAACTTATTATTATTGTGTCTGCTGTTGGTGGATGCCACACTCATAAGATTGTCTATAAGTAGTACGCAGCGTAGCAATCACCTGGAGACTGCTACAGTCAGTAGCCGAAGACAAGAGTTTTTTTAAGGGGTCAAAAGAGTAGTATGTTCGAGGAGAACAGAAGAGGAGCGAAAGAAGACACACTATGACTGACCATCCTGGATTGTAGAACATATAAAGGATACAAATGAATGACTGAAGGCTACATGTATACATTCAATTTCACGAAAAACATATATTCCATTTGGACTTGACTTGTTTCTATATATCACTTATATTATAACAAGAAATTTCAGAGCGATAGTCTAGTCTTATCAATCGATATTCTTTATGCTATCCCTGAAGGAGTAGCGCCTGCAAGTCTTGATAGACAATGTAATTTACAATTCAATTGCATTGATAGTTAGCACAGCAAGTGATCAGTTTCATTTGGTATCTATTGTGCATTCTGTACGGGATTGTCTCAATGTAGATCACAAGCATTATAGGTGACTAACGAGTCCCAAAGTGGGACAAAACGAGCATCCTGAAATCCAGTATTCGTTTCTAGCTATATTGTGATTTATAGTTCTTGTTTGAAAATGATTTATTTCCATACCAATTCGCCAAAAAATAACTGTTACTTTGACATAATTCTTGTAATAAAAGTGTCATCAGGAAAGTGTTGGGGACGTTAGATCCCCAGAACTCACATGATCAAGGTCCTAATTTCGGATTTTATGCATTCGTGCATGGGCTGATCAGTTAAGAATACATTTCCCACGCGGGAAATTCTTGACTGTTAATGATTGATGTATTATTTTAGTACGCTACTTTTTGTGACTCTCCTAAGGACGTTTCTATCATGTATAAATAAACTTGATTTTTGTGCTTGTGAACCTCATATTTTCTGGATACTTGTAGCATATACTTTCTACGTCTTGTCAAGACTTCTTTCTCTACTTAGTGGGGGGCCTTGAGACGCTCGGATTAGATTAGCCTATCGTATAACTGGATCATTTGTCTTCTCTCTCGTTTACCAACTCTATGATGAACTCGTAATAGTAGTTTCAGGCATATCAACTGGTAATGAGTGCAACAGAAAGAAATAAACTTATTCAATCTATTCATTCAATTGGTTTGATAAACACTTGTGTTGATTGAAATCATAGTCCACTCACTACTACACTATAAACAGATAAGCCAGAAAAGTCGCTTGAAATAGAGAAAAAAGAAAGACAATAACACATACTGTGTTGATTGCAGTGAAACAGTATGTAGCCAAAGTGTTAGGATATTCGTCCAATATCCTAAGAGAATTATTGGTCAATTCCTATTGATTAATTGCTACTGGTCAATTTTATGGTCGTCCTAGTTATCAATGTCATGTACTCCAATGTTGCTTCCCTATTGGTCGTCTTAACTGTCAATGTCACAGAATTCGATGATGTTTCCTATTCGACCAAAATGTATAAATACGCATTATCTGTAACATTTTATGACTAGGACCAGGACCCGGTCCCGGATCCCTAGTCCAGGATCCTGATTCTCTTCTGGATGCTTGTAGAATACACTTTCTACTTCATATCAAGTCTTGTCTTTTTTTACTCAATATGGGGGTTGGGATAATCGTATTTGAGTAGCATGTCGTGTCGCCAGATCCTCGCTCTCATTTTCCGACTAGGTAAACTCGTAATAGCTTAAGTATATCAAGATGACGTGTTCACGTGCAGGTGTAATACAAAGGATAAACTTGCAATGACAGCCGTTCAGCAAAAATAAACTCAAACAGTGCTAAACAATAACAACAAAACGTCCATTCTATTAATAATAGTTATACCGATGAGAAGTATAGTTGTGACGAACTACAAGAAGTAGTCGTCAACATCCTCATCAACATGAATATAAATGCTTTGAAAGCTTACTGAAGGATATTTTTATATATGTGTATAAAAAACATATTCACCATGTAAATACTACTTATTATATGAAGCATAATAGTAAACACTAGGATGATCGCTAACTTGTATCCTAGAATGAATAATAATAATAATAATAATCATACAACAACAATGATGATAATAAAACAAGTTTCATTGAACCGACCACCCAAAACTTAATTTTATCAAAGTATCTTTCACGTAAACACAAATACAAAAAGAACAATTCTACAGTACACACAACCAAACATATTCATGATGTATGGGCACATTGCTGGAAAGTAAACTGGTATTCATTCATTCATTCATTGAAAATAATTTAATTTTTTTTTGTGCGCGAAAAGAGTAGTAAGTAGTTCAAATAATGAATGATTCAATAATGATTCTGATTCTGATGTACATTAGAAATAAATAAAAACTAAAAAAGAAACCCATCGTGTGAAATATTATTTTTATTTATTAAATCTAACAAATTAATACTATATATATATATATATATATATATATATATATATATAATGATTATATCCTAGATATGGATAGCAGATCAATAGATGAATTATTGAAACTGCATCAGTTGAGGTGGTTGGGACATGTGTTACGTATGGCTAACCACCAACTGCATTGACCAGCAATGTTTTGTAGTGTAGGAGTAGGTTGGAAGAAAATTAGGGGCGGCTAGACCAAATCCGCGAAGTCACTGACAAGTGGATTGAGTCAGTCAGTCAGTCAGTTGCAACGTAGAACTTCGTACGTATGAACATAAGTTCAGGTTGCCATACCACATTAGCACAGAGACGCGAATGTCAAATCAAATCCCATAGTCATAAAGATAGTAGAGGTATTAATGGTAATGAAGAAGACTAGGGTTTGAGGATTTAATCAAGATGAAAAATTCAGTGAGATAAGGTTAGAAAGACAAAGGTAGAGGTGCTAACGAATCCAGAAGATTAGGATTTGAGAGAGCACAATGAATGGATGCACTTGCACCATTGTAAACGATTTTGAGCCATGTCGCTCAAGGTCTCTAATCATTGTTGACTTTCATCTCGCGGACCCCAACCAGGTAGTCTGCATCTACCGACTGGACTCAGTCTACTTGTCAGTGACTTCATGGATTTGTGCTTTTTTGGTTTGGCCGCCCCTAGCTTTCTTTCTTCCAAACTATTCCTATACCCCAAACATGGCACATCAAGGCATTCTGTGGTTGGGCATTCGTAACACATATCCAAACCACCTTAACTGAATAAGTTTCAATACCGCATCCCAAACATGTTCGCATTGTTGCTTAGGGTAGTCAGAAGACTCTGCATTTTGTCAGCGTCTTCACCGAATAGAACTATGTCATCGGCATATTCTAGATCAGTAAGTGACTTTCCTGGTAGAAGGTCAACCCCTGAAAAATCTGACAAGCTTAATGTTAACTCTAAAAGGATGTCTACGATAAAGTTAAACAAGAATGGAGAGAGTGGACAGCCCTGACGGACACCACTTGATGTAGAGAATTCAGATGACAGTTCGCCATACGCTCTCACTCGACCAGTGGTGTTCGAGTAGAGAGCTTGTATAAGGTTAATGTACTTCTTCGGTACACCTTTCAATGACAGACACTGCCACAGAACCTCACGATCCACAGAGGGATTGAGTTATGTTGGTAGGCGTCGACTACCTGGTTGAGGTCCGCCAAACAATAGTAACCGATGGTTAGAGACCTTGAATGACATGTTTCAAAATCGTTTGCGATGGCGCAGGTGCATCCACTCCATTCTCTCAAATCCTAGACTTTCTAATTCCTCATCACTTTACCCATTTTTTTAAAAGTTAATTTCACTAGATACTACTTATTGAATAATATCTTTTAACCCTAATCTTTCCGATTACTGCTAGTAGTTTTACAACCTCTACTAATTTGGCATTTGAAGTGACAATTGCATCTCTTTGTTAATGCGGTATGGCAACCTGAACTGATGTATGTACGTACGAAGTTCTGCGATGCTGTTGTTGTTGTTGTATATGACTGTATACCGTTAGAGATAGTCGGAACCACTAGTCTTTTTGTTTGAATGATGATGGTAACAATATTGTGGTCACATGAAGTCAATTTACGTTTACAGGTAAAAAAAAATATAACGGAGCGGTTCATGCTAAAATGCAGGTTATTTACCTTTAACGCCTATGTGATGTTAGTCTAGTTGTGAAAGATAAGAAGTATATTATATGTCAGTGAGACTACTTTTGTTTAGTTCAGACAAAATGAGGATGGTCAATAAAACACTATTTGTGTTTGAAAATCGTTTTGTCACTGAAAGACTGTTTAAGTTTAGTGATAATACCATAATGTTAGTAATGCAAAGCTTTGCCAGTGGTCCAGTCAGTCAGTCAGTCAGTTACAATGTAGAACTTCAAACGTACGTATATCAGTACCAGCTGACATACCACATTAGCAAAGCGGCACAAGTGCCAGTTCAAATCCCATAGTGATAAAGATAGTAGAGGTATTAATGGTAATGAAGAAGACTAGGGTTTGAAGATATTATTCAAGAAGTATATATTTCAGCGAGGTAAATTTAGAACGAGAAAGATAAAGGTGATGAGGAATTCAGAAAAGTAGAATGCGAGAGAACACAAACAGTGGATGCACCTGTACCATTACAAACGATTTGGAGCTATTTCATTCAGGGTCTCTAAACCATCGGTTACTATCGTCTTGCAGACCCCAACCAGGTACTCGACACCTACCAACATGACTCATGCCACTTGTCAGTGACTTACTGGATTTCTGCCATGTTTTTGTTTGACTGCCCCTAGCTTTCTTCCAGCCTACTCCTCCACACCATAAAACATCACTCGTTGAGGCAGTCGGTTGTGATGCATACGTCAATGTGTAGTCGAACAGAGTAACACAAATACTAACTTTGGTAGTTCGAATATATATTCCACATGTGTTATCGTAATGGTTTCCCACATCATGGATTATTTACAAAAACAACATACATGAAACAACAAGCGAACAGCTGAAATCCATGACATGGAAAACATAACTAAATCAAGTATTATTACTAAAAATATAAAGGTAGGAGGCGTTTTCGGAAATGAAAAAAATCAAATAAGATTAATTAATATATCACAGTTCACATATATTAAATAAACAAACTGACATGTAAATGCTAAACAGTAAACCACCCCCCCAAACACACACAAAAGAAGGGGGACTTACAGCACGTGTATGCTCATCGAAACTAGCACCGGCATTAGCTAACATCCGTGCCGATGTTTCACGATTCCAATGTGCAGCTGCATGCAGTGCAGTCCATCCATCGAAATCTTTAGCATTTATATCTAAACCGGGAATTTGTAGTAGTATTTCCATTGCTTTAGTATAATCTTTACAAGCTGCAACATGCAATGGAGTGGCACCAGTTCTTGGATCAATAACCGGTCTAATGTAATATAAAATATATACATATATAAAACACATTTATTTGATGCATAAGACAATAGAGTAAAAATATAAAAATATTTTTTCGAAGTCATGAATCAGACTGAAAGATACAATGCAGAACTTCATACGTAAGTACATCAGTTCAGGTTGCCATGCCCCATCAGTACAGAGACGCAATTGTCAGTTCAAATCCAAGAGTGATAGCGATAGTAGAAATATTATCAGCAATGGAGAAGATTAGGGAGCGAAGATGTAATTCGAAAAGTATAATTGAGTAAGATAAATTTAGAAGGAGTAAGGTAGAGATTGAGGAATTCAGAAGGTTAGAATTAGAGAGAACCCAGAGAATAAATGCACCGGCGCCATTGCAAACGATTCTAAGCCACGTCGTTCATGATTTCTAACCATCGATGAGTTTCATCTCGCGGAACCCAACCAGATAGCCTACATCTACCAACATGACTCAGTCCACTTGTCAATGACTTCATGGATTTCTGCCATGTTTTGGTTTGGCAGCCCCTAACTTTTTTCCAACCTACTCCTTCCTACACCACAAAACATAGCTCGTCGAGGCTGTCGGTGGTTAGGCATACGTAACACATGTCCCAACCACCTCAACTGATGAAGTTTCAATACTTCATCTATTGATTTGCCATCCTTACCTAGTACTCGTTTCCTAACGATAGCATTGCTTACTCGGTTGTCCCAGGATACACGAGCAATGCTTCGGAGACATCGATGATCGAAGACTAGTAACCTACGAAAGTCCTCTACTCTTAACGGCCAAGTTTCGCATCCATATGGCAGGACGGAGCGAACTGCTGCACAGTACACTCATCCTTTGGTTAGCAAGCGGATATCTCGCCTGCGCTATAGGTGACGCAGGTTGGCAAAAGCCAGTCGAGCCTTCTGTATCCGTGCTGAGATTTCGTCAGTCACCAGGCCATCAGCACTGATGAGACTCCCGAAGTTATGAATCAATCAATGTCAGACCACCATTAGACACCTAAAGGCACTGGACGGCCATTTTGTCCTGGTATGGGAGACTCATCAGTGGTTCTGTTAGCGGGACATAGATGAGATTAAAGCATGACTGCGTTAGCTGAACGCTGATTAGCTAATTCTTATCCAATCAGCGCTAGCCGACACTTGGAGAACATTCCAGAAGCTTCTCATGTAAAAAGCCTATAAAGATACTAACATTGTTCCTATTTCGTCTTCGCTTCAGCTTCTTACTTCCATTTAACCATACTATTTGGAATATATTCTTTTCCCTGTGTTCAACTATGTTCTGCTTTGGAGACTTGTCGAGTGGATTGGTCTCCAAGAATACTAACTAAGCAATCGGAATAGCTCGGTTCTACTGTGGTGCGAGCTACTTATAAGTAGTATATGATGTGAGTGTCAACGTAATGTCTGGCAGCAGAAAGGAAGAGTTAGAAGAACACAATGGAATTTGTGTATGAAACGCATGAATAGTGACAATGGATTGATGTTTTGCAACAGGAACAACAGTCCAGTTCGATATGATGGACTGATATTTTGCAAATTAACACGATTTACGATATGGTTTTCCAATTTTACTGAGTAACTCTGTAATTTTCGTAAAATACAATTCGGTTGCCCTCACCTGTGTTCTCTCCTTCACTACACTACTAACGCAGAATGATAACAATTTCAATAAATAAATCAAAACACAGACACACACACAAACACAAACACACACACACGTACATACATAGCTATGCACTTACTTATATTGACCACTAGTTAACCATTGTTGTGCATCATGCAGTAACATTTGTTCTTCTGAATGTTTAATAGCTTCACCATCGATATTTTGTTTTTTCATTGAATCTGTCAACAAATTGATCATTTCTTCATCTTGTGCCACATCAATTGGTAATTCTAAATCTACACTTAATATTGACAAGTTTGCACCATTTTCAATGAGAAATCTGTTTTGATTTTAATGAAATTTGAAACGGAGAGGGAGAGAGAGAGAAAGAGGAAAAAAGAAGCATTTGAGTAGTGAGTGGTTTTTTGGATGCAACAAAGTTAACGACAAATATACAGATATTAGATTAACATAAATACTTTTTACTGTCATCATTCAAATATACTGCAATGTAGAGATAGCTGATAGAATATTTCATTACACATAAGTTTCAGTCAGTCAGTCAGTCAGTTACAATGTAGAACTTCGTAAATCAGGTTGCCATACCTCATCAGCACAGACACGCAACTGTCAGTTCAAATCCAATAGTGGTACAGATAGTAGAAGTATTAGCAGTAATGGATAAGATTAGGGTATAATTCAGTGACATAAAGTTAGAAAGAGAAAGATAGAGATGATGAGGAATTTAGAAGGTTACAATTTGAGAGAACACAAATAATAAATGCACCAGAGCCATTGCAAACGATTCTGAGCCATGTCATTCAAGGTTTCTAACCATCGGTTACTAATGTGTCGCAGACCCCAACCAGGTAGCCTACATCTACCAACATGTCTCAGTCCACTTGTCAGTGACTTCATGGATATCTGACAAGTTTTGGTTTGGGTGCCGCTAGTTTCAATCACAATTTGATCTTAGTTAGACCATTAATGAAAACCTAAAAGCAGTGAACGGGTACTGCGTCCCAGTATGGGACTCTCTTGAGCAATGTGAATGAATAATCGTACATTCGATAATCGAATACATTGGATCATCAGTTTCGTATGTGGACACTTGACTTCTAAGACCAGTAAGCCAGCATTTAATAGAGTATATATTTAACCACAATCTATTCCCGATACTATATAGCCATGTTTCATTGTCAGTAGTGGATAAATGTCCCACACTCAACATGATAACGACTTCTCACTTAAACTGTATGACTAACATCTTCAATATAGTCACTACCCCATAACACGAAGCTAGCTAGTGGCCAGCTTTATGATGAAACTCCTAGAGTTTTAGTGAGAAGTTATGACCGAATGCAATTAAACCATCTCGAGAGTGGCACAAACTATCCACTACAGGCAATGAATGATGACTGCGCAAGATCGGAAACTGATTAAAGTTAAAAACCATACTATTTTAGATGCTGATATAATGATCTAGACATTACTAATCGGTTAATTTCCTGTAGGTAACTAACGGACTAATAAAGAACATTTCGAACTCAAGATGACGATTTCTAAGGTGTTATGCTCTCTCTATCTCTCTCTCTCTCTCTCTCTGTGAGCTAGACAGCTTAATTATGAAGCTTTTAACGCCTTTTCGGAAAATGGTAGACAGTAGGAACGGTCAGGCCCTCACTTGGAACCCTCAAGGTAAAAGGAAAAGAGGAAGGCCAAGGAACACATTACGCCGAGAAATAGAAAAAGATATGAGAGGAATGAAAAAAAATTGGACAGAAATAGAAAGTGAAGCCCAGGACAGAGTTGGTTGAAGAAAACTGGTGGGACGCCTATGCTCGATTGGGGGCAACAGGCGTAAGTAAGTAAGGAAGGAAGGTCAGAGAAGAAGACAATTACAACAAATATGAAAATCACAGTTACATAATCATGAACAACAGATGATCAAATAGTATGTTAGTGTAATAAACCAGTTAGTCGATTGTTGCAAAAGAATTCTAATCACCCCATTCCTTTTTAGACATATAGTGTTGTTCAGGAAGGAGTGTTGATGTTCATCCACCTGTGAGGATTTTCAAATAAGACGAAACCCTCTTTCCTTAGAATCAGCGCTAACCATAATTCATCTATTCAAAAAAAGCGGCTGTATTTTAAGGCAATCGACACAGGTTGTACACATGTCAACAAAGATGGAATAAAAAGTTCAATCAGAAATACTAACAACGCGACCATACAAACCCTTTTACTGATAATAGTCAGTCAGTCAGATGCAACGTAGAACTTCGTACATAAGTACATCAGTTCAGTTTGTCATACCACATTACCACACAGAGATATAATTGTCAATTCAAATCCAATAGTAGAAGAGGTAGTAAAGGTATTAGAAGTAATCGGAGAGGTTAGGATTACAAGTTATTATTCAAGAAGTATAATTCAGTGAGATAAGTTTAGAAAGTCAAAACTAGAGGGGTCGAAGAATCGAGAAGATTAGGATATGAGTGAATACAAAGAATAAATGCATCGGCGCCAATGCAAACGATTCTCAGCCATATCATTCAGGGTCTCTAACCATCGATTATTATCATTTCGCAGACCCCAACCAGGTAGTCGACAACTACCGATATGACCCAGTCCACTCGTCAATGATTTCATGGATTTCTGCCATGTTTTGGTCTGGCCGCCACTAGCTTTCTTCCAACTTATTCCTACACTACAAAACAGTCGGCAGTCGGTGATTAGGCATACGCAGCACATGTCCTAACCACCTCAACTGATGAAGTTTCAGCACTTCATCTATTGATCTGCCATTCTTACCTAGCACCCAATTCCTAATAACAGCGTTGCTCACTCGGGTGTCCCAGAGTATACGACCAATGCTTCGAAGACACCTATGATCGAAAACCTACCAATATCTTCCACTCTCACTGGCCATGTTTCACAGCCATAAAGTAAGACGGAGCGAACTACTGCACGGTACACTCGTCCTTTAGTCAGCCAACGAATATCTCGCCTACACAGGTTGGCAGAAGCCAAACTGATAATAATAATAATAATAATAATAATAATCACAATTCAATTCAGTTGGCAATATCCACAATAGTCTGATTTCCTTCCTTCCTTACTTACTTACTTACAAAAGAATAACATGTTGAACATTGAACACAAAAGGAAAAACAGTATATTTAAACAAAACATAACAAAAAAAGGCAAAACAAGAACAACTAGTTTATTCAACGAGATATACACAACCTATGAATAGTATGATGATAAGATACACCTCTCATAGACATTAAAAATATACACATCTAAATTTTTTAAAAAAAAAAACCATAAAAGAGAGATAAATAATGATTTAAGGTAGGTGAAATTTGTCTATAATACATTACAAAGTTTACATTGCTACAAATATCTACTACAACAGCAACAACAACGAAGTATACATAAATCAGATCGATAAAACACACACACGCAACACACAACACACACATAAGACACACAGACTGAAGCAAGGTAGCATTTGAAAATGAAACACTAACCGATGATAGGCGTATTACTACTAGTTCATGGGTAATCGCATATGGACACACACATGCACACAAGCGTACAACACGCGCATACAGACATTTTTAAAAAAAAAGAATTAGAAAGTCTACATAACACAATAGTATACGGTAACTGATGAACAAGATAATACTGATAATAATAATAATAATAGTAATAATAAACATTGCATTTATTTACTAGTAAGAACTGTTGAAAATCTTTCCATTAAGACATTGTGCAAAGGGTTGGCCTTGATACAGACATAAATTTGGAAGCATTTAATGGTTATCTTGCTTCAGTAGACAAGTGAATAGCGAGTTAGGTGTTTATAGTGAACGGTACTGGAGGTTTGTGACCCGGAATAGACATTTATCTGTGACACGTATCAAAAATAGGGTGAAACAATACATGTACCAGACCCCACTGTTAGCTTATAGAAGAAGCATTTGACTCAGAAAGAACTCGACGGCAAAAATGCTATATACAGCATTACATATTTTTAGATGAAATTTATAGCTGAGGATAAGTATGAGGGAATTTCCAGGACTTATATCTCATGTGATTTGAGAAATAGATAATGTATCCTTCACCACTACCGAAACTGATGCATAATGATATAGTAAGTTGGAAGAAATCTATGAACTACTAAAACAGTCCGCCCTGAAGTCACTGATTGTTGTACTGAAACTCATGAGTAGATATAGTTGAGCTTCGTGCAATAAATCCGATAAGTGATGTGTTTTAGGATCGTTCACAAAGCGGCAGATCCATCGACTAACTAACTAACTAACTTCCCTTACTCTTAGATCTTAAACTTTAAAGTTATCTCATTATACTACCATTCTGATATTTGTCGTTGTGTTATTCTGGTTTAGTGATACATGCATATACATGTCAGGTTCTATGTTACTTATGACTGATTGAATGTATTCATTCACAAAGGGTTTAAAACACACACGATACTTAGTTAGTACTTAATCACTGACAAACCAAAATACTTGGTCTGTGATAATATTTTTATCACTGTTATATTGGATGACTTCCTTTTGAACAACGACAACAACATGATGAGCATAAATCTCACTTCAAAGTGTCAATAAATTTTACTGACCTATGTCAACTTGCATGAAATCTAAACTCGAATATTGATGTCAATCGTTAATCCAACCAATTCACAGAATCAACAGATAACAAGTCTCAGTTTATTTTGGAAGTGATTGGTCTCATGTGCTGTTATGAGTATGAAAGTGGATGTCACTTTCCGGCTGAACAAGAAGTTGGATTAGTGCGTGATCACAGAGCCAAAGGGACAACTACTTGAAGCGTATGGTCTTTTAATGGGATGTTTTTGTTAGGATATATTCATCAAATATCCTAAATAAATTATTTTGTGAGTCTAATTCTACCAATCAATTCCTATTGGTCAATATTTAAGGTCATCCTAAACTATCAAGTTTACATACTTTTAAACGTTGTTTCCTATTGGTTAGTATTTATGGTCGAACTAACTGTATAAGTATACATTGTCTGTAAATTTTTATGCTCTTCTCCTTCTTATGTACAAAACTTAATATTTTCTGGGCGCTTGTAGAATACAATTTCAACGCCATATCAAGACTTTTTGATACTGGGACGCTCGGACTAGAGTAGCCTATCGTGTCACTGGATCACCTGTCTTCGCTCTCGTTTACCGACTAAGGTGACCTTGCAATAGTTTCAAGCATAACGGTTTTGGAAGCGCTATCTCCGCTCTTTAAATGGTCTTACTGTCGGAGACGGAAATCCGTGAGGTGA